TTTTCCTCTAAGCAACAGAATTGCAGTCATTTCCTGAGAGTTTCTCCCAGTGGTGTGTTTGCTGTGGAGCTTTGCGCTTTCTTTCCAAAAAATCCTAAGTGTAGCTGTCAGATGTTTCAAGTAAAAGATGTCTCCTTTTTGCAACACAGTTCTTCAAAAGGTGTGCGCACAGATTCTGGGTGTTAGCCCTCACATTCATCTCACAATGTAGATAACAACCCTGCATGGCCCATTTGAAGATGGCGAAGCGACTGAAGGAGCACTCTGTGGCTTACATCTGACTCTCTTCACCAGAGACCCAATCAGCCAACCACAAGCACTCCTGCTTTGAATGTGTGCTGTTTGTACGCTCAGTGCATTTAGGAGTTTTGCTCTAGCACAAAAATAGCAGTTTACGCACTGTTGAAGCCCTCCAGGGTTTCTCTGTCCCAACCTAACTCCCTATCATCAGCTACTACACACCTTTATAAGGCGAAAAAGGTCACCAGCAGACGTGGGTGCAGGGTCATCTTGTGTCTTTTTTTAAGGCACCGGTACTAGTGTTGATGCAGAACCAGCTTTGCTTTTCATTGCACGACTTAATTCTTATTTTTGTGGAAAGAAGATCACGGTGGGCAGAATATGGAAATAGTCTATGCACCCAGAAAATTTTTAATGGTCCAGTTTAGGAGCCAGAGCCATGTCAGTGAGAAACAGGCACTGTTAGCATATGAGCTGAAGTGATAAAGCAATAGGAATAAAAAACAATGAATCTAAATGACAGCAAGATCTGCAGCCATGTGAAAATGAGAGTTTTCAAAGCCATGTGAGCAGTCTGTGAAAAACTAAGAGCTCTCTGGGACTCGGTAGCTTGTAGAACCACTTTTAACAGCAATAACTTGAAGTAATCTTTTCTGTATGATGTTGTCAGTTTCTCACATCGTTGTGAAAGAATTGTAGCCCACTCTTTTTTTTATAACATTGCTTCAATTCATTGCGATTCGTGGGTCAGTCCATTGAAGGTAAGGTCAAATATCTCCACTTTGGTTCCAGAAGTCTTCTGAGGGCTTTTTTGTTTGTTGTTGTTGTTGTTGTTTTGTAGATGCTAATCTGTGAATCTATGGCCTGCAGCCATGTTATTTTGGGGAAAGAAGATGCTTTGCCCTGGCAGCCCTTCCAAACAAGCCGTACTTGTTTTGTCTTTTTCTAATTGTATTGTCATGAACTTTAGCGTTTATTGTGCTAAATGAGGCCTGTAGAGTCTGAGCATTGCACAGTCTGACCTTGTGGTGAATTTGCTTGGATATCAACTCCTGGGAAGATTGTGACATTTTGTTAACACTCACCTAAAAGCCTGAAAACTGCCGAAATGTTGATGTTCATTTAATCAAATGCATTTGATTTGCAGCATCTTTCTGCTTCGTACTGCCTTGATTCCTGTGGGAAACAGTAAGGGTGTACTTGTTTTTCACAAGACTGCATAGAGTCCTGTGAAAAAAAATGTTTTCACATGATTTCACATGTACCAAAAACATGACAGAATTTTAGGCACAGTATCTCAGGGGAAACAGTCGGCGTACTTTGTGCTTCTAAAAATATTCATATCCAATATCAAATATAAAACTATAAAAGTTCTTCATGTGAGATAACTAAAACTGATGTCTTCGACTCATTATTTATGTGTTCTCGTTTTGGTTTCAGGCCATTTAAGTGAAATTCTAGTGGCACCAAACCAGAGGGAAATCACCCGCAGAGATAGGCAGCTAAAAAATAGTATTTCACTGAAATATATTTTAGTACAGAAAAAGGGATATTTAAAAATAGATAAAGTATAGAAAGAAAAATCAATCAGTGACAGTAAAAAATGCCAAGAGAGGAATTTCAAGAGAAATTCAGCAAACTGTGAAACTGCTACAGGCCAGCAGCTCACCTCCCCTCTCTTTTTGACATTTATAGTCAGCATTTGACTTCAATTACTTCAGGATCCTAGAAAGACGTTGATGGTCTCCACACTCCAACTTCTGCAGCTTCTTTTTTCACCTTTTATTAAGCTGACTTGCCTCTTCAGCGTCACATATCTTACTCCAACTTCTATTTTGTTTCCTTTGAAGTCTGTTTTGTTATTAAGTCTGAGACAGGGACCTGAGTGCAGGACTTTGTAAAGTTTGCAAGTAGTAATAAAACGCAACCCTTTATCAAGGCCTCAGTGACACAGGACTAGAGACCAGTCACTGGTCCCCCTGGTAACCGCTAGTGGTGGGCGGCTCAATCCAAACATCAATTGTATCGATACCAAGTCGGCATCGGTATCGGATCGATACTAGCCTGGTGAGATCGATTCTTTACTTTAAGTTCTGCTCTTGTTTGCGAAGATGAAACAGCCAGGTTGCCGCACTCGCTGCTCCCGACACACTTTGCTCCCCCTTGTGTTTAAGTCTTGCGTTGTCACGTGACTTAGACGCTTTGGGGATTGTTAAGTTGTTTACATATTATATTTTCACCAGTTCTTTAGAATTTCAATTGTAATTTTTGTATTATAGTTTCTTAACAGTACTTGTTTTAACTTATTTACTGATTTGTGTGCACTTTTTATTTAAGATTTTTCTTAAAAACTCGATAACTAAACCACCACACCAGACCCGATGGCGTTTTCATGCTTCGCAGCATCATTTATTCTTACAATAATCACACCGTTGCTGTAACAGTACATTCAAAAACTGCAGCTCTCCAGCTGCTAGCCGTACACATCGCCAACAACAACAACACAAGCAGAGCACAGGTTTTAAGCCAGCGAGGCGTGATTTTAGATGCGCTGCATGTGAGTCCAGCTGCAGGTGAGTCCATCTCACCTGCAGCGGCATCGCAGCCCAGCCACAATAATAAAGCATTTTCTATTTAATTATAAACTTTGTCCTAATTATGTCCTGGGTGTCAACTATTTAATAATAAAAACACAAAAAACACTTAAGGTCATGAAAATGAATTAAGATTTAGCAATTCAATGACGCATCCACCTTATTTATTAAAAAGTATCGGTATCAATATCGACGATACTGACCCGTATTTAATGGGTATCGGATCGATACCAAAATATGCAGTATCGCACACCACTAGTAACCACTGGTTACAAAGAAAAAAATTCCCCAACGTTGGATAAAATCAGTCACAAAGAACTGCACTGAAAATCTACTTGTGATTTTTGTAGCCATTAGCAGACAGCTGTGGTTACCAGCTACCGGTTTGCATGGAAGACTCTGACTTGTCTGCAAAATCCAACACTGACTGCTCTTTAGTCCTGCACGCCCGGGGCTTTAGCAGTTGATTTCACAGCGACTGCCAGCAATCTCCAGCAGCTAACCGCAACCAAACTGGGAGTACTCATTTTCCCCCAGCAGCTTGGGGTCTCCTTAAATGAACTCAAATTCAAGTGCTGACATCTACAATGAGCTCTCCTTGTTTAACTACCGTTAGACACAAATGTCATTGTGAATGGTTTCTTTCGATTTTTGTAAGGTCACGAATGGATATCAAAGGTAACTTTAATTGGAATGCTGTGTAAAATGTAAAAATGCAGATCTCATAAATCCAGATTTTATTCATTCAGAGAGTATATAAAATGTTTAAACTGAGCCATTTTACTGTTTCATGAAAAACATAGCCCATTTTGAATTTGATGGCAGCAACATATCGTAGAAAAGTTGAGACGGGGTCAACAAAAGGCTGGAAAAGTGAAAAGAAACAGCTTGAGCAACTTTTTGCAACT